GACATGAATTCCATAATATTTCCACTTCCCGGATGTGTAATGATGAGACAAGCTAAGTCTGAATGTTGACAAAAAGATGATGAGACAGACCAAGTAAAAGCATGAACAATTATCTTAGATTTCAACAAGCACACATTAAAAAATTAAAAATTAAAAATTAAAAAACTGAAACCATTGTTACATAGCTCATGAAAGGATGAATACGCTCAAAAATATAATAGCCGCTATTACATTCCAAACTGTGTCAACCATAACTCATGTCCGCGTAAGTCTATGTATGTCATCCTATTGGGAATCTAACCCTCCAAACTACTGCTCTCACTCTCTCTCAACATGTTCTATTGCATCTAATACAACCAGGAAAGACACCATTGACTTAAATCATCATATTCTATCTAAAAGGAATATAATTGGATGCTCCCTACCCCTTTTCGATTTTAGTTGAAAATATATCAGCACAAGCAAACATACATACTTTTCTACAAATAAATGTTACCTGCAAGTTTAGGCCCAGAAACAAGCCTTATATGGTAGCTCGAAGGATCGCTCTTCAACCAGCCAGCCAAAACATACACCACTTCGAACCCATTTCCATGTTTTTCAACAAACTCCTGGAGTAACCTATACAAAACAACTTTCAATCACCTGTAAACAAAAAATGCAACCCGGAAAATATTTAAAGACAGTTCCTATACCTCTTTGCAGCATTGGAAGACACAAAGTAATTTCGACTCAGCCACTTGTACGAAACCTATAGCACAGTTGAGCACCGAAAGAAACTTACTTTAGACAATATTATGAATTCATATGAGGTTAAACACATCTCAACTCAAATTCCCACCAAGAAATTTCGTTTTGTCAACGAAACACAGAAGTAACAATTCAGTATCAACGCTTGACTGAGAGCGGTTTCCAAGTTTATTGCATTCCTGAACCTAACCCATCATTAAATCCCTAAAAAATTACATCTTTTTTATGAATACAAAAACCCTTTTAACAATAAACTAAAGAACATAAACTCTTTCAGCTTGGTAATTAAGGCAAGTAAAAGATTTGTCTCACTACATAACAAGAAAGCAGTAAAATTTTGTCCAAACAAATAGAAATTCACCAAAACCCTAGTAAGAGCTAGCTTCATTATAACAGAGTAATACACAGCAAAAACACTAAATCGAACCAAAAAAACAAAAATTAAAACTGAAAAGTTGATTGGTCTTGCCAAAATTACAGTGAATTGAGATACTGCGAAAAATCAGAAGAAAATCGAGAGATTGAGAGAGGCATAGGGGGAATTGGTACCACTTGAAGTTGATTGGATACGAGGGTTTCGATGTCTTGGATGATTCCCAGGGTTTCCATTTGGGCTTTTTTTTTTTTTGAAAAGGGAAAAACTTTGGGTCGCCGATTCTCTCTAAGAATTAACGGTAAGAGGCGTGAAAGTGAAAGATTAGATCTTTCAACGAGTTTCCCTCCCAAAGCTCGCTTCTTTTCCCGCCATATTCTCTGCGTTTTGCCCTTTCATCCCATTGTGGTATACATATCATATGGATTCACAACAGCACGTGTTCTGTGATTAGGCACGTGCTCATTTGGGAAAAACGGAGTTGTGGTACTATAAGAGCAAGTCCACCCCTAAAGACTTTGCGCCAACACCCAGCGCATTTATCCACTCAAGTGAACAGTAATAGGCCAAAGCATCTCCACCCCTAAAAAAATGCGCTGGCACCCAACACATTTATTTGGTGTGTTTTTTTTTTTTTTTTTAGTTTATTTCGGATAAGATTTTTAACCAATTTCGGATAAGATTTTTAACCAATTTCGGATAAAATTTCAAATAAACTTAAAAAAAAAACACACTAAAATAAAATTACATAAACTCATCAAATAAACTATAAAAAAAACACACTAAAATGAAATTACATAAACTCATCAAATACTCTTTATTCTTCAACCACAAGCTTTTTGGTATTTTTTTTCACACAAAAAGTATATGAAAGCTTTGGTAGAAAGTGTAGAAAATATTGAAATGTGGTGTAAGGTGGAAGATGAGGGTTAGGTATTTATAGAAATTTTTTTTTTAATTTTCTGTATTTTTTAATAAATTTTAATTTAGTTAATTAACGTGGACCGTTGATCTATGATCGAACGGTCTATTTTAAAAGTCAAATTTAAATTTTTTTTACCGTTGGAAATCCAACGGTCTAGAAAAACTAGCCGTTGGAAATCCAACGGCTATGAGCATGACGCGTCACTCCGGAGCACAAGTGGGCTGACAGCCCTCTGCAAGCTTGTCGGCTACTCGCCCTGGGCGCGAGTGTCGTGCACGCGCCAGCCAAATAGGCCGGCTCTTGGGTCTGTCAAAATTGGGCTGGTCTGTTGCCTGGCATGGGCTGGGTGCTAGGTAACTTTGTGGGCTGGAGCAAATTGATTGAGGGCTAGTCTGTTTTTTGTGCTGGGTCCTGGGCAAAGCAAGCCCTGGTGGACTTGCTCTAAGCATTTATCTCATCTCGACTATTTTTTATTTGGGTAAAGTACAAAAACTACCTCAATTATTGGTGTCACGACACTTTCATACCTCATTTTTTAAAATTAACAATGTTATACCGCATTTTATGAATTTGTGACAATGTCATACCTCCGTAAGTTTTTCTATTAATTTCTCTGTTAAATGCTGACGTAGCCCGACACGTGTCCCACTCACTAATCCAGCTGGATTAAAAAATAATTAAATATATTTTTAATAATTAAATATTAACAAATTAAGAATAAAAAAACAAAAAAAAAATTTACTAGGGTGCAACATCCCCTTTCCTTCTCCCGCACCAATTTCAATGTTTTTGTTCTTCTCTCTCCTCCTTCTTCTTCATCTTCGTCTTCTTCTCTTGGGCCGAAACTGGTTTTGGCACATTTTTTTTTCGTTTTCAATTTTTTTTGTTCTTCTCTCTCCTCCTTCTTCTTCTTTATCTTCTTCTTCTCCTAGGCCGAAGCTGGATTTGGCACTTTTTTGTTTTCAATTTTTTTTGTTCTCTCTCCTTCTCCTTCTTCTTCTTCTTCTTCTTCTTCTCCTTCTTCTTCTCCTGGGCCGAAACTGGATTTGTCATTTTTTTTTTGTTCTTATCTCTCCTCCTTAAGAAGAAGAAGAGAGAGAAGGAAAAAAAAAAAAAGAAGGAAACCAGTTCGTCCGTCCCCCTCCCCTAACTCAACCTGCAGAAGAAGAAAAAGTAGAGAGAGAGAGAGAGAGAGAGAGAGAGAAAAAAAAAGGAAACCCCCAAGCTGCAACCCAGAAAGAAGAAGAAGAAGAAAGGAAAAAAAAAAAAATGAAAAGGTCGTCCGTCCCAACCCCCCTCCCCAACCCACCCAACCTGCAGAAGAAAGAAGAAGAGAGAGAGAAAAGAAAAAGAAAAAGAAAAGCTTTTTTTTTTTTACTTTTCCTTATTATTTTAATATTTAAAAAATATTAAATAATTTTTTTTAGTTTTTAATAATTTTTTAATAGAAAGTGGGTCCAGAATCAAGCCACGTCAGTATTTAACTGCAAAATTGACGGCCAGGTAACGGAAGGTATAACATTAAACCAAATTTTAAAGATGAGGTATGACATTGTCAATGTTAAAAGATGAGGTATGAAAGTGTCGTGACACTAATAGTTGAGGTAGTTTTTTGTACTTTACCCTTTTTATTTTTAGATAATTACTTTAAATTCGTTTGTTAAAACGGTAAATGGATTTAAACTTAGGTGCAAATGCAAGAGAGTAGAGCATATTGTTCTAGTAAACTTAGCTAAATTCACGTCTGCTTCATTCTTGTATATAAATTCTACCTGTATTGAAAAAGGAGATTCCAAACACAAGATTTCGGACACATCACGTATGAGTTCATTAAACACCTAAGCTATCAGCCTCTTGGTCAGTTCATGATAGTGTGTAGTCAAAGATTTTTTATTTTAGTTTTAGTAGTCACACCTTCAAAATAATGACAACTAATTTTATTTTCTCGGTGTTAGAAAAGATATTAACTTCAAATCATCGCTCCTCATTATAAGAGTTAATATGATAAATGGTGTAAGGATCAACCCGTGTTATTCCTGTGTAAAATGCTCTAATGGTAAATTGTTTAGTTCACACTTATGGGCCAGAACTCACTCTTGGCTCCTATCGCCATTGAATGGAAGGAGAAGATTTAACAAATAACACGCGATGTAATTTGAAACTTGTCCCCCAAAAGGTTTTCTTCTAAAAACTGAAATTGAAAAAAAAAAAGCGAGAATATAAGTTCAAGCAACACTTTTTCTGCTTCTATCATAAAGAATCAAACGATGAAATCCTAATTCATTATCTTGTTCTTACTCTCTCACCACCTGGGTTAACCGAGGCATAGTTGTTGTGTGACCGAGTGATACAGCTAGTAAACTCACAAGTGCATATCAGAGATGAACCTAATTCATGTGATGAAGCTGCAATTCTACTGTGTTATGTTATGTGACACAAATAAACATTAATTAAGTTTGCACATAAACTTCTTCCCATAACTTATCTGGATTCCAACGTCTAGATGTAGTGCAGAGTATTGTGCAATTCTACTGGCTCCTGTTCCGGGTACATGGAAACATCTCTCATGTATTGAAACTTAGCTTTCAGAGAGTTCAGAGATAAAAAAATATCTTCTCCTTATTTCACTCTCTTACTCAACAAGACATTTACATCAGTATATATAGATACAATTATATTGACATAATTGACCTCAACATTCAGAAACTAATTACACATTCACCCTTGTCTAACTGACTCCAAATATACAATTACTACTTGAGTCTTTACACCCCCTCAAGCTGAGACTTGGGACATGAAAATGACCAAGAGGAAGCTTGGATTGCAGAAAACAGAATCTGTGTTTTGAAAGGGATTTGGTGTGAATATCAGCCAATTGATCTTGGCTGCAAACATAAAGCACTTTAATCAAATGCGCCAATACTAACTCCCGAATGTAATGATAATCCACTTCTACATGCTTTGTCCGAGCATGAAACACAAATTGGAGGCAAGAGAAATGGCTGAAATGTTATCACACCAAAGAGTTGGAACGGTAGACAGGGGAAAGTGGATATCAGAAAACACCTTGCAAATCCAGGTGATTTCAGCGGCAGTATGTGCTAAAGCTCGATATTCAGCTTCGGTGGAGGACCGGGCAACAGTGGGTTGCTTTTTAGCATTCCAACTGATCAGATTGGGACCTAAGAAAACACAGAAGCCAGTAGTAGATCGTCTATCAAAAGTACAACCGGCCCAGTCATCATCAGAATAAGCAGTGAGGGCAAGAGAACCCTTTTTAAACCAAAGACCTTGAGTAAGAGTGCCTTTGAGAAATCGAAGAATGCGTTTGACAGCTTGCAGGTGTTGTTCCCGTGGTGAATGCATGAACTGACAAACTTGGTTTACAGCAAAGGAGAGATCAGGCCTGGTCCAAGTGAGATACTGTAAACCACCCACTATAGACCTGTATTCAGTGGGATTAGAGAGTAAATGACCACTGTGATCAAGTTTAGTGGTACCAAGAGGAGAGACACAAGGCTTGGCACCTGCCATATTTGCCTTGTTTAGAAGATCAAGAGAGTATTTACTTTGATGCATGAAGAGGCCTTCAGAATTGCGTTGCACCTCCAAACCCAAAAAATAATGAAGAGGGCCCATATCCTTAACAGGAAATGCTTGGCTAAGTTTGTGAATGAAGTGTTGGCAGAGAATGGCATTTGGTCCGGTGACAAGAATGTCATCGACATAGACCAAAACAAGAACAGGAGCTGAAGCTTGAAGAACAAATAGAGAAGCATCAGAGGAGGACTGCTTAAACCCAAGAGTGCACAGAACTTGGAACAGTTGATCAAACCAAGCCCTGGGGGCTTGTTTTAAACCATACAGAGATTTCTTGAGGTGGCAGACATGACTAGGAAGATTGGAGTCAATGAAACCAGGGGGCTGAGTCATAAAAACAACTTCCTTGAGATCTCCATGTAAAAAGGCATTGCTAATGTCCAATTGATGGAGAAACCAGTCATGTTGAACAGCCAAGGTTAACAGAATACGAATGGTGACAGGCTTAGCTACTGGACTGAAAGTATCTTGATAGTCAACACCCTCTTTTTGATGAAATCCTTTGGCCACTAACCGAGCCTTATACCTGTCCACCGTACCATCAGGTTTTCTCTTAATTCTGAACACCCATTTGCAACCAACAATGTTCTGAGACGGAGAGTGGGGTACCAAATGCCAAGTACCAGTGAGTTGAAGAGCATTAAACTCTTCCTGCATAGCTTGTCTTCAGTGGGCATACTTGGAGGCTTGTAAGTATGTGGAAGGAACAAAATCAACATCAACAGGTAAATGATGTTTTGTGGCAGAATATGCTTTTGGTTTAAAAATACCAGCCTTTGAGCGAGTAAGCATAGGATGAGTATTAGGAGCTGTAGAATGTGAAACAGTAGGATGAGTATTAGGAACTGGAGAATGTGATACATAATTTGAGGATGATGGTGGGGAAGAAACATGCTCAGTGAAAGGGGTAGTGGATTGAACTGGAGAAGGGCGCTGGGGAATAGAGAAGTGCAAATCAATAGGGGAAGGTGGAGAGTGAGACCCCGGAGAAACCGCCACAGATGAAGAAGAAAGAAATGGAAACTGGTTTTCATTGAATTGAACATGGCGGGAGATATAGATTCTCTGAGTAGTAGGATCAAGACACCGATAGCCCTTGTGCTGCAAACTATAGCCCAAAAATACACATTCTGTACTCTTCCCATCTAACTTGGAGTGAACATATGGCTTTAACCAGGGATAACAGGAGCAACCAAAAACCTTCAACTTGGAATAATCGAGAATAGAGTTGAATAAAAGTTCCCATGGAGACTGATTCAAACTGGAAATAGGCAGGCGATTGATCAGGTAGACTGCAGTAGAAAAGGATTCAACCCAATACAAATGAGGAACTTTAGAGGCAACTAATAGAGTCCGTGCGGTCTCAACTAAATGTCGGTGCTTTCGTTCAACACAGCCATTCTGTTCAGGTGTGTGAGGACAGCTAAGTTGATGAGATATACCATGATCTTGAAGAAAAGATTTAAACTTGTTACTAGTAAATTCACCCCCTGAATCAGACCTCAAACATTTGATTTTATTACCAACAGAATTCTCAACATAGGTCTTGAATACAACAAAAGTATAATATACATCAGATTTGGCCTTTAAAGGAAAGAACCAAGAGTACTTGCTGTAATCATCCACTATTAACATATAGTACTGGTAACCACAGGCAGAAATGACAGGAGCAGGGCCCCAAACATCACAATGTAACAAACTTAAACTAGTAGTAGAAGTAGAACTAGAGGGATGAAACGGTAGCTTGTGATTCTTAGCAATTGCACAGTCCGAGCAGAAGAAATCAACAGAATGTTTTCCCTGCAGTGCAAGCTTATTGGCAGATAGAACGCGCCTGAAGATGGCAGATGAAGGATGCCCCAAGCCACTGTGCCAAATATTCACAGGTGCTTTAGGACCGACTAAAGCATGAGGAGATGAACAAGATGAAGAGAAAGAAGCAGGGATACCTTGAAAAGTATAGAAACCATTATTAACCGTTCCCTGCAAAAGCATCTTCCCCGTAGAACGATCCTTAACAACAGAGCCATTGGAATGCAAAGTCAAAGAGCAGGAATTATCCTTGAGAAATTGATATGCAGAGAGTAAATTGTGCTTCATTTGCGGAACATGTAACACATTGTTCAACTTAAAAGAGGCATGAGCAATATTTAACAATGTACTGCCAGTATGATGAATGGACAAACCTTTTCCATCGCCGATATACACTTTATCTTCACCAGTGTAAGGAGTAGGAGAAGAAATATTGGAGATGTCATGGGTGATATGAGATGTAGCACCAGAATCTAAAATCCATGAAAGAGATGGTTTAGAAGCATAATGAGTATACATGGCAGCAAGTTTAGTAGGGGGTACTTTCCCAAAGATATCTGGATTCATCCGATCATAGCAATCAATAGCTTCATGACTTGAGGATCCACAAATTTGACAATTGGTACGAACTCCAGGATTATTAGAAGAACGAAAGCCAGGATTGTTGAACCTTTGGAAACCAGAATTAGAGTGAGAGCCCCTGTTGTTGCCAAGATAGTTTCGATTGCCTCTGTTGTTGTGAAAGCGATTATTGTTCCGACCACGATTAGAGTTGTAGCGAGAAGAATTCTGCATAGGTTGATGTTGAGTGGCATAAGCTTGAGAAGAATGTGGTGTAGGAAGGAGAGGCGGTTGATTCTGAGTAGCATAAGCATGAACTGGTTCAGCAACAACTGATTTCTTTCGACCAGCCATTGACAATTCTTTAGTAAGAAGAAGACCATGCAGTTCATCCAAAGTAGTCGAGGAGAGGCAACGAGTAATAGAATCAACAAAGGAGTCAAATTCCTCTGGTAAACCATGCAATGTAGCAGCAATCAAGTCACGATCGGACACAGAGGCACCAGCAGCTGTTAAAGAATCAGAAATTGCTTTAATTTGCTGGAGATACTCAGAGATCGATTGAGAGCATTTCTGAAGAGATTGAAGACGAGAGCGAAGCTGATGAATATGAGCATCGGAGATGCCACCAAACCTCTGTTCCAATTTGAGCCATAGATCTCGAGAAGAAGAAACACCAACTGTGAAAGGAATAATCTCCTCCGAGAGTGTAGAATTCAACCAAATCAAGAGATTTTGATCTTTTTCGTACCACTGTTCAAACGCAGGATTGAGGGAGCGATCAGCCAAGAGAGGAGAGGGACAAGGTTCAGAACCATCAATAACACCGAGAAGTTTGTAGCGACGAAGAATTGGGGCAAAGAGTGCTTGCCAAGGAAGATAATTGGAACTCTTAAGCTTGATCGGAACCATACTTCCAATGTTCTGAATCGTGAGAGAGGTATAGCTTGGCACCAAATTAGGGTTAGGAGAAGAGGAATTGGGGAGAGAAGATGACAAATCAGACGCCATGGTGGATGATACAGGCAAGATTCAACCAAATAACCACACAAAAGACAGAGAAGAAGAAGCACCAGGGATCAGATCAAACCAGAGAGCGAAGCGGAGAAGCCGTGAGACCAGAGATCGGAGCGGAAAAGCCGTGAGACCGCGAGGACAGATCGAGGCACCGTGAGATTAGATCGAACCAGAGATCGGATCGAAGAAGCCGTGAGGATCGAAGAGTCACCAAGCAGGAAGGCGGTGACAACGGTGACGAGAAGGATCGAAGATTCACCAAGGCCATGAGGCGGTGGCGATTGATACCATATTGAAACTTAGCTTTCAGAGAGTTCAGAGATAAAAAAATATCTTCTCCTTATTTCACTTTCTTACTCAACAAGACATTTACATCAGTATATATAGATACAATTCTATTGACATAATTGACCTCAACATTCAGAAACTAATTACACATTCACCCTTGTCTAACTGACTCCAACTATACAATTACTACTTGAGTCTTTATCATGTACCTGAAACTTGGAAAATTTTCTAACTTGGGAAACAAGCAATATTCTTGTTGCAACTTTATATATACACCGGACTGCCGAGTAGTGATTATTTAATAAATAATCTGATACGTAATCTGGTGACATGTAAATTACAAACAGGTTTTATACTCATGAGAGTGCTAATGTCCTGTAAATACAATGTTTACATTTCATTTCCATTGTCCATACAGTTTCGACGCACACGTTTAATTTACAAATGAGCGAGTGAAGGTTGCGTAAAGATGTAAACTTCGTCGAATCCCCTCCTGCAATCGGAAAGCGTAGGACAACCAAGTTAATAAATCCATGCACAAATCCAAAATAATAATGCAGTTTGAAGTTCAGTTTTTGGTTTACCCAGCCTTCCCACAAAAAGTGGGACTGTAGTTGTAGATGAGATTGTCAAGGACTTCCCGGACAGGCGGTCTGTTTAATGACTTCCTTGCCTCACTGCATCACAAATTCAAAATTAGACTAAGTTTTGGGTCCGCAATCATTCCGGTTGAATAAACTTAAGTGAATTTTAAAGTTGTAGATGCATATTCTGAATTCTGAAATATGACACCGTGAAAAGTTGTTAATACAGTAGAACCTCGATAATTGAATAAACAAATAATGCGGTTATCTGAAGACTCTGAACCTTAAATTTTCCACTTTTTTTTTTCTACCCCTGCCCTCCAGACAAAGTTGAAAAGCACAGCGGTTTAATTAGAACTAAAAGACAGATACAGAAGGAGCCCTAACCTGACCAAGAAGTTTGCAGCGTGCTGGGTCACTTGAATAGCATCCTCTGAGTGCGGAATCATTGGTAAGCCCCATTCGAAAGCATTTTTCTGCATCTTAATTAGTTAGTCTTCTCATACTTGAAACAAATCCGTCGGAATAATCTAATAAGTCCAGATTTTCTCAAAGGTCTTTTGCTTTTCCCAATTCTTAGTTATGCAAAATTGTACAGGTTCCACGGTAATAATTATTGAAAATCTTTCTTAAGAACACAAATATAGTAATATTGGAAGTGTCTTAAGTAGAACTAGTTAGTGTTTTATGTGCCAATCTTTCATACAAAGATGGTACGAAAAGCAAACTTTGATAATTACGCAATCATAGCTTCTCCTCCACAAGGTTGTGAATACATCTTACGTAGAAATCCTTGCAGATGCATATTCAAATATAAAAAGCCTCGAGATGGTTCCATATTCAACACTGTTAATGTGCTGTTGCTTATATTGATAAATTTAGAGTTAATAGTAGCATTAAAGACGACGAAAGAAATATTGTGGTAATACCTCTGGATGCCATTGGAAGGCAGTCACAGGATAGTTGTATGCGTGTACTGTGGACACATAGACCTGGCATTAGTGTTACTGCAACAGTTAGAATCTTCAGGGGAATAAAATGAATTGGGGAACTTGAATAGAGAGATGTTTCATGACATGGTGAAACCACATAACCAAACGAGATAGTTACATTCAGTACCTTATCATCTTCATCAGTACAAGTTGTCAAGATCTTAAAGAAACTTGACAGGTTCTCGTTCTCCATAAGCCTCTCTGGTGAGATACCATACTGTTGCGTTGAATCATTACAAACTTATGTTAGAAAACCTAAACCATGCTTTCTAAGCATAAGTATAACCATATGGATAAGAACAGCAGAAAAACAAAATGCACGGTACAAGAAGCATAAATCAACAGAAAGAACGAAAATCATAATAACTCATAATCCAAGATATTCTCAAAACACAGCCATTTG